CCACACAGCGAATACACCACACTGGCCATCATCCGTTAGTAGTGAGAGCTCCGGCGGTACATTCTCCGGCATCCTTCTCCTCCTCCTTTTCTTCTTCTACCATGCTTCTCATTCCATTCTTAATGGATATCTTTGTGTTTATCTGAATAAAGATTTAAAATAGAATATTTATCGTATAACCAAATGTCACAGAGGTCCAAAACATCACACATGTGGCCAATGACAGATCTAGACAATAGTCCTATGTCATTTAAACCTTTTGAACTTCTTATAACGATGCATTCACATGCATAAAGGTGGTTGTTTACATTCCAGCAAATTGGTCAATCTATCTGTGAAAAGTGAAAACTGAAATTTTAGGTATTATATAGATAGATAGATATATAGGTATTACTCTTAAGCTAGACACTTATGAGACTCGTGTTAGTTTATAATGTTCTCAGCCGTTGGATAGACTTTGTGAAGTTTATCTTACCAAGGCTGACACTAATGTTCTGCCAAGTTGGTTGGGGTGGCTTGTCTCAACTGCTAGGGTTAGACCTGAAGCACATGTAGTGTGGGTTTGTTTGAAACTCCGAACCGGACCATTTTCCAGTTATGCCCTGGACCTTGGAGACAAATGGGCAAAGCATAGAATCAGCCCCTTTGCCTAATGGGTCAAAACCTAGGTATGTTGAGTCAGTCTGAGAATTCATCTGAGTGGGTGATCTTAGTGACAGAATCAGCCCCTTTGCTGAACAAATTGAATGATTGGAGATAGCACTCTCTCTGATGAAAACCTAAACTGTCGTCAGTTGATTTCAAACTTATTTTGCAAAATATATATATATTATGTTTTATGAAAATGTTTGCAAAGGTTTTAATTCCCGGAATCTATCCGAGTAGAGAGTGCAACACTGTACCTTGCAGCTAAGGGAGAGATCATCTCTTGTCGGGTAGTGTTTGATCATTATGGGCTAAGAAGTTAAGTGTAAAACTATTTAGGGCTTATATACATGATGGCTAATCTCACTTAAGACCATAGTCATTGGGCCTTCATAAGGTGGCTGAACCCAAGGACCATTTAGTGTAAATGTTGGGCCTGCTAAGAGCCCATACTAATGGGCTCAGGGGTTCACTGTGCTCAGCAGTGAATTCGGCTACACCTTGTAACAGAGGCTAGGCTGAACCCATATGGCTTTTGTGAAGATCAATGTTAGAGTCCCACGCCATACAAAGAGAGTCAAGTCAGCCAATATGATTAATTAATATGGGCAAATCTGGGTTTAGATTTGGATTTGGATCAGCAAGAAGATAAGATAAGTCTTATCCACTTAAGAGTTTATATCCAAATAAAAATTTGGATCAAAGAACTCTTTCCTAATAGGATTAGGAAAGCTGATCTTAAAAGGCTATAAATAGAGAGGACGAACTGCATTATTGAACACCTTTTCTGCAATCAATTCTCTCTCTCTCTTCTTGCCGCCCTACTCTGTTCAATCTCCAGTTCTTTGACTGATCAAGATTAGATCTTGATTCTGATTTTTGCTAGAAAAATCAGATCTTAATCATGCTCACACTCTCTTATATGATCCTTGCTGAAGATTTGTAGTTCTTGTTGAAGGACTCCATTGCTTATTCTGCTTCATCTCAAGCTGCGCCATCTTCAATGGAAGTGGGTTTTGGTGCACTCTTTGGGCGTGAATACCTACTTTGGGAGCTACACATGTGGATTCCGAATCAGGTATTGCTCTCTCTTTTTTTTGTTTCAAATCTGGTCCGATTTGTTTCAAGAACAATCCCAAAAAAATGCAGTTTTTCTAAAACTGGGAATACGATTCTCGGAAGGGATAAAGAAAATTTTTGAAATTTCACCCAGCCACCCTGCATGGTTCGACCATCCATATGATGGATCTCCCTTCCCTTTAGACCTATTGTTTTATCCATGGTTTCAAGTCATAWTGACATTGACTATCTATGCCCATAGAAAATAAGAGTTCAACCTATCTCTAAAAGAATGCAGAGCAGTATAATCAATTCTACTTAGCAGTGTAACTCTTAACTTTTCTTCATACTAGTAGAATGGCTTGTACGATGCATGGGGAAAACCAATGAATGATTAACCATAACCAAGTATAGAACTTACCAACGTGTTACCCTGAATTTGAGTATTTTTAATGCATTAAAGGTCCATGGTGAATAGTGAATCTGTTTATTTTTGCTCTCAAATCAGTAAGAACATATGGAGTAGATTCATGCAAATATGTCAAAAATATTAAGCATACATTCCCATATATCAAGGGTCTTGGTTGGGAAAAGAACAAGTTCAGCCCTTTCTTCCCTTTCCTACACTGACGGGATACCAAAGTTGGTTATAGAGTTGAGAGGCAATAGTAGTCTCTTGAGGCCTGCAGTTAATGCAAAGACTTGAGTYCAATACAAATGTCCAAGCATAAAAAATTGTAAAGAAAATAACCTAAAATCAAGAAACATTCACAAAAACAGTTCTTTTAGTTTAGAAACCTCAAATTATCTCAGAATACCAAATGAAAAGTAAATTGCACATAAAGAATGGAAAAATACAGAATTAATTCAAATGCCAACAAATCCATATTATCCAAGTATCAACCAGAATCTTTTAAACTCAAATCAACCCATCCAATATCAAACAGATGTGAAAACCAATCGGCATAGAAAACTTATCTTTTGATAGATTGCAGAGTTAACTACACTCCAAATCAAAGCATTCATATCTATATCACCTACTGAATTTTTTACCTAAGCAATAGGCCTCCAAAATGCCCAGGCAAGGCATTAACTACACTAATTTGATTGAACCCAGATAGGGTTATATCCAAATCTGAATTCAATTCATGTATGTCCATATACCCATTTTATTTCAAAGCTCAATATATCTATATAGAACCAACATAAACCTACAAAATTAAACACAAAATAAGGTTTTTCATTTGCAACCCTAAGGCCAAGATAAACAAAAGCTAAGACAAGGTTTTTCATTTAGTAAAACTGTCAGGAACAAAAAAACTTCAAAAAATTTTGGCAATGCGTAAAATAATGGTTGATTTTTGATTGGTTGCGCTAGCACCTATTTGTTTGATTATTGAAGCTTTGACCCAAAATGAAACTAAACTTCAAGATGGAATTTCCTTCTCTAGTTGGGCCTAAAAACTGGATATACCAGTAATATTTCCCCTTTAAGATTCCAAATTGCTCATTCTATACTCTCTATGACTGGGTTTCCTAGGCAACACTAATCAAACTCAAAGTTTGATAGAACCTGGMGAGGGTTCCAAGTCCTAATGCATTAAATAATGGCCCAATGGTCCCAAGTCCTAATCCTGTGATTATGCCACAACATAGATGGAATAAGTAGTGAGTGCTACTATCTTGATCCTAGAAAACATCTTTTACATATTTCCTTGTCTATTAAGAAGGAATATATTCTATATGAATTCTTTGCCTTTTTTTTTCCAAAATTTCCACAACTCTCTCTTAGACAAAACAAAGAAAAATATGCTTTTCATAAAATCGTTATACAAACCTTAAAACACTTGTTTGAAAATACAGCAAATATAGCATTACACTTTGATAGTAAAAATGGTGTTGCATTTTGTATTCTTCTTGGATCTCTTACATTCAGTCATCAGAAAAGGGCTGAATGACAAAGGGTATTAGTGGTACTTGCCCAAGTTATAGCCTTATTTGCTATTGGTAACTATCAGGAATGCCAATGAAAATCATGAGTTGGCCCATTGATATGCCAAATGGAGAGACTTTTACACATGAGAAATAAAAGAAACTACATGCAGGTTAAGAAAATGTACATTAAAAATGAAATTAAGAAAATTGAGGCCCTAATCAATGCTCTTTGTGTTAGACATGTATAAAGATGTTCCAAGAAGTTTGTGAAGCTAAATGGGAATTAAATTTTAGGGCTGCCTCAACCCCTTACTGATGGTTTTTTGCGATTCCAAATTATTTCCATAGTCAATGAATGTATACAATTGCACTATCAAGCATGAGTAACAAAACTAGCATCAAATCAACATTAAGCAGGAGCTAGCCTAATGCTACCCAAAAACAGCTATTGAAAATATTGAATTAGGAATAAACAAGTTCCATATTGCAAAACATCAACATAGAATCAAAAGATGAAAGTTGCAGAAGAAACAAATCAAAAAGCAACTTTAAGCAACGGCACTTCAAGTGTTGATACGGTTGCAGCCAGGGGAAGAGCCAAGTATAAAGGTGGGGGGTCCAAACCATTATACTTCATATGGTGGGTAGTGGGTGGAGGAAGTGGCAAACATGTAATAAAGTGGGTTCTTCAGTAACTTTACAAAAAATCCACTGTTGGGAAACCTAATACAAAGATAGCTCCCTCAATAACTTCTTTCTCATAAAGACAATTATCTTTGTATGCTAACATTGGTCAAATGTGAGTAATATGAAAAAAAAAAACTCATTTCTTAACTTCTTCATGTTAAGATTTCTTTATAGTTTTTCTAGTTTCCTCAAGAAACTCATCCATATCAAATAGGAACATTGTTTGTTGATCACTCCCACATTGTTCCATCTCATCATGTTATCTTCGGGTCCTAATCAAGTGTGGAACACCCAATAATGCTTTGCAATGTGGAGTGTGGAAATAATCCAGAGAAATAAATAGGAATTTTGAACCATCCAAGTTGAACATCTTACATGCTAGTTGTGACAAAAAACCATGCGTAAGTTGATTGATACATTCTTGTTACCTTCTATATATCACAGTGAAATATTGATTCAGCCACCTGCCTACATATTAACAATTTATTGTGGTCTAAACACTTCCAAGACATATTTGATAAAATTGATCCCATCAGAATTGAGTTGAGGATCCAAATTCTAACATCACAACTGGTTTTTTAGTGCATTTGCAATGTATGGTATATATATCCAAAAAAACTTATCTTTTATAGATTGCAGAGTTGGGCAAGGCCACTCTCTCTCTCTCTTTTTTTATGAATGAATGGCATTTTATTAAATAGAGATATAAATAGTACAAGCATAAAGCACCCTAAGAGGAGGCACGAGGTGTTACCTCCCCTTAAAGGTGGTTCCAAACCCAATTCTTTTCAGATTGCAGTTACAAATTAGCCATAAATAGAGAATCCCTTGAAGCCCCTTGTTTAGCTAAAGAAACTGCCAAAGCATTTGCCGATTTACTATCCCATTGAAAGCTAACTAGCATGGTTCTCATAAGCCATTTGACTTTTTTGATGATGTCCCTATATCCCCAAATAACAGTTTATGGGTCTGACATCCATCCCACTATCACCTTAGAGTCTCCTTCAACTATCAAATTAGTCACTCCAAGTTGGTTGGAAATTTGTAGTCCTTGTACCACAGCTAATATCTCAGCCCTTGTAGAGTCTCCATAACCCACTGGACTTGAGAATAAGGACAGAATGTTGCCATCCTTATTCCTCAAGATCCCTCCTATACACGAAGGTCCTGGATTGCCTTGACTACCATCAAAGTTCAACTTTACAACTCCTTCCAGAGGGGGTAACCAACTTGCTTGTGTCTATTTTTCTTGGATGATGTGGAGACCACTGCTGCCCAACTCCTTCGAAGGTCATCACTAGAGTAATCCACAAAGAGATCAATAGTTTTTAGTCAAAGGAGTGCCCTTGTCAGTATACAATCATTTATTTCAGCAATGCTTCTCTCCTTCCCCTAAAAAATTCTGGCATTTCTTTCCTCCCAAATGGTCCATAAGAGGGTTGCCCTAATACATTTTCACATTACTTTCCCTCTCTTTGTTGGCCAACCAAAAAAAGACGAATCAAAAAGCAAATTTATTTCAAGAGGCAGGTTCCACCTGTACCCAAGCAACATAAAAACCCAATTCCAAATATTTACTATAAAAGAGCAAGAAATCAGTAGGTGATAACAGTCCTCATTATGCACTTTACATAAAATGCACCAATTAGGGGACAAGCATGAATAAGGTCTCTTTTTTGTACATTGTCCACAGTATTAATTTTATCATAATACACTTCTCAACAAAAACCAGCAATTTTTGGTGGAATTGTCCTTGACCCGACTTCTTTGACTAGGAACAACAAAGAGGAAGGAGTAGAGCAAAGGGACTTAAAGAAGGAAGAACAAGAGAAGGAACCACTCGAGGTCAAAGACCAAATTCTTCTATCTAGTTTAGGAGGGTCCAAACAAATAGAATCAAGTAAAAGTAAGAGCTTAGAGGCAGAAACTGATTCCTCATCCCTCAACCCTCTACGAAAACCAAAATCCCAATTAAGAGACAATGGGAGAATGGGGGGGTGAGAAAGAAACCTCGAAACAGGCTCCTTTTTATAGAGGGAAATAGAAAAAAAGGGAGGGATAGAGGTATTTTAATGGTTGGTTGCCCACCCAAACATCTTCCCAAACAAGCACAGAATTACCATTGCAGACATCATACCTTACGAACTTGAGAAATTTTGGGAAGATGCTAAAAATCACCTTCCAAGTTGTAGTGAGTGTGGGTTGTTGAGATACCCCGGCATCCCAACCAAATTCAGAACAACCATGGATGCTAGCCACCACCTCATGCCACAATCTCTCTCTTTCCAGAGACCACCTCCATAACCACTTGCCCAAAAGAGCTTCATTCTTATTTACTAGGTTTTCTAACCCTAAGCCCCCTTGTTCTTTGCTTCGACTCACAACCTCCCATCTGATCAAATGATCATTTTTCTCTGCACCTGGTTCCCACAAAAAATCCCTCATCAACTTTTCTATCTTCTTGGCTTCCCTCACAGATATCCAAAAAATAGACAAAAAGTAGATGGGTAAGTTTGCAAGTGTGGCCCTAATCAAAGCTATTTTACCCCCCATAGAGATATAGTTCTTTTTTCCAGGTTACTAGCCTTTTTTTCCAACTTCTTTACCACCGGGATCCAAAACCTACTTTCCTTTGGATTTGCATCTAGGGGAAGTCCTAGATAGGTCAAGGGCCAAGTAGAAATAAGGCATTCTAAGCAGGCAACAATAGACTCCAACTCCCTTCCCTCCACATTTAGCCTCACCACACAGCTCTTCTCAAGATTTATTTTCAGGTTTGAGACATTCTCAAAGAGGGTTATTAGATTTCTCAAATTCCTTGCCCTCAACAAATCATATCTCTCACAAAAGATTATGATATCATCTGCAAACTGAAGGTGGGTAACTGAAACTTGATTTCTTCCTAATCTCCATCCTCTTATCAATCCAACCCTTGTCTGCTTTTGACAAAAGTCTACTAAAAACATCACCAACCAATATGAAAAGGAAAGGGGACAATGGATCACCTTGTCGTAAGCCCCTACATGTAGGGAAAAAATCTTTTACTACTCCATTTACTAAA